GTATATCAGCAACACTTTCTGCAAGTGGCATGACTCCATGTTGCCATCAGGTGAGCATCCAGTGCCAACTTCGCGGTCTTACATCTCGGTAAGTACTGGTCCTAAAGTTTTTTTTTTTTTTTTTTTTTTTTTTTTGTCTTATTACACACAGAAAGTTGCCCTCTTTAATTTAAAAAAAAAAACAAAAATCAAAATGCTGGTCCAGCGAACATAGACCTACATTTGGACAGTTAACGGGTTTAAAATCATTCTTGAAAGCTATAAAAAAAAGTTGAAAGAAAAGACAAAAAATGTTTTTCCATGCTAAAAAATTTTTGTAAAGCATGTCACTGGGTTTTCCATCTTTGGCGTAAAGAAAAAAATGAAAACATAATTTACTTTACAAGATTTGAAAGCATATAAAAAAGTTTTAAGAAAAACTTTTAACTATATAAACTGGGCCAGCAAAAGGTAAATTCAAACTATGGGAAAAAAGGTCCCAGAAGGGTACTGAAGTTTTCTTATAAAGATGGTAGTACAGTAGTCATATAATTGTGACAACTGCCGAAAATTTTAAAATTTTTTACAGGAGCAGATATGCCTCAACTTAGCTTGCTCCTGTCATTACCTATCACAGGTAAAAGAGGGCACCCTCAACTACCTCAAGTCTCCCAGAAACAGAACCCAAATATGTGTACGCAAATGGGGCAAACTTTTTCTGCGCAACCAATTACATTTGGGTTCCCACGGGGAAGTTCCTTGGCCCTTTCTTTTTCCCCTTACTAAATGCCCTTCCAAAGTTTCGCAATTTTACTCAAACCCACACTTTTTCAGATGACCACAACTCTTCTCTCCCCCGCCCCCGTCACGCTAGCCAATCGAAAAAACCGAATTACAGAAAAACTACCTGGATGAGGACTAACAAATTTACATAAACATTGCAAAACCTATTTCATTCATTTTGGAACAGGCTAAATGTCCCTCTTAACAAAATGAAAAACGGATCCCCTATCCAAAGCTAACAGAGGGAAAATTCTTAGGAATCCACCTTATATAGACTAAAATTTTCATACACTAAAAAAAAATTTCTAGAAAATTCCAAGATGTGGATCATCAAAGATACTACATGCCCCCACATCAGCCTCCGGGCCCTTATCACTCTCTTATTTACCCCTATCTCACCTAGGGAATTTGTGCATGGGGGTCAACAAAAATTTAAACCCTCTCAGCCCAAATTACCCAACAAAAGGCTGCAGTTAGAATAAAAAATTTCTCACTCGGCACACATCCACCAATATTCAATACACTAAACCCCATCACCCTACAAAAAAAATCCATACTTATTACTGCACCTATTACATAAAGAACACTTAAATCTGATATAACCCCCCCCTCAAACATCTCCTTGCCAACCCCAACAGAAAAATGACCATAACACAAGGCACAGATCACTCTTTTATGTTCCTCGTGTCCATCTACCTGCAAAAATCAAGGGACTAAAAGGCCCCAAAATTGGAATTCATTTCCCGTAAAAATAAAAGAAACAACCGTTTATAAATTCAAGTCCTTCCAAGATATTTCACCCAAAACCCCAAAAAAAATTGAAAAACTGAACCTTTTAAATTTTTATTTAAATTTTCTCCAATTTTATCAATAAAATTTTAACCCAAAACCCAATCTAACTTTTTTAATTTTTTTTAAAAACACTCCCCAACAGAAAATCCCTACAACTGAATGTACAACAAGCATGAACCTAGACCTGTCTTTGAATACTCATTTTGTTTATAGTTATTTGTTTACATAATGTATTATCACGATTTCATCATTGCTTATTTTTTTTTTTTTTTTTTTAACCAGCCCGTAATGCTATGCTAGTATAAGTGGCTTTGGCATGTCCCTTTTATCTGTTTTTTTTGACCTCTGTATGTATGCTCAAATTGTAAATAAATAAAAAAAAAATAAATAAATAAAATTGGGTAAGAAAAACCCACATGTTCAAGTTTGGTAATTCGTTTTATAGTCTGAAAACTATCCCTAATAATTTAAAAAAGGGGAAACCTTTATTGTTTTACATTGATTGTGTGTACGTAGAATCTCTAATCTCGGGGTTTTTTCTAAAAAAGTGCCTTGTGTAAAATAGCTATTGCGATCTGACAAATGTAGGGGAAAAACACAGGGTTAGTTCACGAGATTTGGGGGAAAACCCAAATATGCTTCTTTCTTTTTTTAAAAATTTTTGGTTTTTGATTGGGAAATGTGGGGAGGGTTTTGATGTGATGTTACTAGGCTAGCTGGTTTTTTAAAGGTTTTAAAGTAGTAAAAATTTTTTGTAAACTAGCTTTACCTTACTGCCCATAAATTTGGTTGTGAATGCCTGTTGAACTTGATATGTACACATTTAAAAGGATAGTTGGAGTAGTGAGGTTTATAAAATTTCCTATAGTTAAGCTGTAAAAAAGCCAAATTTATCTTACCCTAAATTCTGGTTGCTAGGCTTGGACATAAAATGTTGTGGATGTGGGGGCAAATTTCCGAGCAGGTCAACTGCTTGTTAGCTTTTAATTTTTTTTGGACAAGTTAGGCAAGAGGGTTATTGGAAAAGACCTGCCTAGCATGAACCCCCGTAGGTTGCTTAATGCTTCCTTCTTTTGTTTATTTAGGAAAAAATGGTTTTCAGTATGTTGGTTGAGTTGAGATAGGCCCACATTTCCTACTGAAGTTTATATTTTTTGAAAGCTACAATGTACTGTACTTCTGGATATGTCTGGATTCTATTCTGTCAAAAAAGTCTGCATATTATCAGTGTAATGTAGGATCTCAAAATATTTTTGTCAATTTGTCAGGGAAATTTCCCCATGTACTTATTTTTCCCAAACTTTATGCCACAATTGGCTGACCACTCATCCTGTGCAATTACCATAGAACATGGGTACAGTATTTAACCCTTTCAGGGTCCAAGGCCCAAATCTGGAGTCACGCACCAGTGTCCAAGAATTTTCACAAAAAAAATTTGTTATTTTTTCTTATGAAATCGTAGAGAATCTTTTTGTGAAGGTAATAAAACAAACAGTACGAAATTTGGTGGAAAATTGACGAAATTATGCTCTCGCGAATTTTGATGTGTCAGCGATATTTACGAATCGGCGATTTTGCCGACTTTGACTCCCATTTTAGGCCAATTACATTATTCCAATCAACCAAATTCTTAGCTATTTCACTAGTATTACTTCTATTCTATCGATTGAGCACAAGAAATCGCCAAGTCAACTGTTTCAACTACAAAATAAAGTGATCGGAAATTGTTAATTTGGCCAATTTAACACAACTTCAAAATATTCCAATTTCAAAATAGGGTCCAGAATGAACAATGTAGGCATTCCTGGCACTAAACTAACATTTCCTCTGTTCATTAGTTATGTTTTTGAGGCTTTACAAATAAATTCCATTTTGATTTTTTATTCACATAATGAATTTTTATTCACACCAAAAAATAGAAGATTTACTCTTATGCAATACTGTAATAATTGTTAAATATCATCACCATATTTGTGAATGTATATTAGACCCACCAGCTGACGTGTATTAGATGTGTGAGGTCGTTTGTTTACTCTTGAATATCGGCAAAAATTTAACATTTCCGCTACTTTGAGCTCAGTTTCAAGCCATTTCCATGCTAAAACCAATCAAAATCATCTCTATTCTGTAATATGTCTTCCATTCTATCAAATGAGACCAAGAATCGCAAATACAACTATAAAAAACATACGAAAAAACACTGCAAAGTTGCTGTTTTAATCGAAAAATCATGATTTCATTTTTTTTCTCTCATTATACACAGTGTGCTGCAGGATCTGTTTTATGTGGTGCACACATACCACATAGATGTATTCTCTCATATCTAGGCCCAAATGTACCACTCACAGTTTATCAGAGTGAGCTGAGCTCATGGCGTAGATCTACGGTTTGGACCCTGAACGTAAAGCCGTAGATCTACGGGACGGACCCTGAAAGGGTTAATCATGATTTAATGAAAATGCAACACATGGATGTGTGGTGTTCTTTAACATGCAGTGAGCACCAGTCATATTATTATGCATGCAAATAAATATTAAATGCTTTTTCACTAACACTATTATTTATTGTTGTATGTAGTTAAAGAATAACATCTGTTATTACTGTTTCCTATGGAATTAATATTTTTGCATAGTAATATCTTTATATAAGTTAGAAAAGACTGCTCTAAATATGTGTTGAGTTTTAATATATTGACAAAGACACAAGGAACTGACCAAGAGAGGAAGCTGGTGCAACATGTACACTACTGGATTACCTCTATTGTCTTCCTGGCCTAGATTGGGTTTTTTAGTTAAATTGTAACTTTACAAATTGTGAATTACAAGAACATGTATTCATGCATTGTGTCACCCTGCCTTGGTGGGAAACAGTCAGTATTAAAAACAAGAATATTACATACAGGAGGGTCCCGCTTATACAGCAGGTTAAGTTTCTGACTGCTGCTGTAAAGTGAAAATTACTGTAAAGTGAAACTTAGCTTTTTTGTACTTTCAGATACATATAAAAGCTTGGCAGTGTGTTTACACATATATTAAGTGAGCAATAGAGCGAGGCCTTAAAAATGCATATATTCACAATAAACACATTACTTACCTTAAAATATTTTAGTGCTTAGCTTACTTTGAGTGGTGAATATATTTACTGTAGGAATCCTGAATAAATTAAGAATGGGTATAATTGAAATCTGCTATATTAGTGAAATCCTGTAAAGCAAAGTGCTGTAAAGTGAAGTGCTGTAAAACGAGGCCCTCCTGTATACTCTATGCTTGTCAGCCACAAAGCTAAAATTTGTAGAGGTAAGAAGCTTCATTTAGCTTCATATGTTATTCTACACTACAATACAATGCTTAGGAAAGATACTTCTCTGGTGGCTCTCATATTTTCCCATTAACCCTTAAAACAATGGTAAGAAATGCATGATTAACTTTCTTTCTCTGTTTCCGCAGATGGGTGGTGGAGGAGGGAGCATGGGCCCGGGTCCTGGCATGGGGGGAATAGGTGGCATGAATCAGGGGGGGTATCAAGGGGTTGGAGGGGGTACAATGTACTCTGGCAGCATAGGTCAGCAACACCAGGGAGCTCCAGGTGGACTCCAGGGACCACTAGCTTATCTTGAAAAAACCACAACTAATATAGGTATGCCAGAGCCCAGACGCTAACTAACTCTTACCTTTAAGGACAGTGCAGTCATTTCTGTAATCTTTCTTTTATATATATTTTAGCCAAGCTGTATTATTGATGCTTATTGAAAATTCTTCCACATTTTACCAAATACTGTAATTTGTATTTAATTCATATCATTGTAGTAAATGTTAACAGCATATGTAAAATACACTATATGTTCTATTGTATTCTATTTGTAATGTAAGAAAAATATATTTTCACAGCTGTATTGCACAATTTCTTATTCTAAAGGTACTAGGCAGTTCCTATATTAATCATAACTTATTTAATAAAGAAATATCAACAACATCTTTGGAAACACAAATCTTAAAAGAAGAAAAAAAACAGTGTAAGCATTCACCAGATATATTAAGAGAGAGAGAAGGAGAGAGAGAGAGAGAAACAGACAGAAAAACAGAGTCAGAGACAGAGTCAAAGACAGACAGACTGACAGAGTCAGAATCAGACAGACACACAGATGCACACACACACACACACACACACAGAAAGAAACAAGTGTATAATTGACAACCAGCACGGTTTCAGGGAAGGAAAATCCTGTGTCACAAACCTACTAGAGTTTTATGACAAGGTGACAGAAGTAAGACAAGAGAGAGAGGGGTGGATCGACTGCATATTTTTGGACTGCAAGAAGGCCTTCGACACAGTTCCTCACAAGAGGTTACTGCAAAAGCTAGAGGACCAGGCACACATAACAGGAAAGGCACTGCAATGGATCAGAGAATATCTGACAGGGAGGCAACAACGAGTCATGGTACGCGACGAGGTGTCAGTGGGCGCCTGTGACAAGCGGGGTTCCACAGGGGTCAGTCCTAGGACCTGTGCTGTTCTTGGTATATGTGAACGACATAACGGAAGGGATAGACTCAGAAGTGTCCTTGTTTGCAGATGATGTGAAGTTAATGAGAAGAATCAAATCGGACGAGGATCAGGCAGGACTACAAAGAGACCTGGACAGGCTACAAGCCTGGTCCAGCAACTGGCTCCTTGAATTTAACCCTGCCAAATGCAAAGTCATAAAGATTGGGGAAGGGCAAAGAAGACCGCAGACACAATATAGTTTAGCCCTTTGACTGTCGAAGGGCCCAATCCTGAAGTGTCTCCTGGTGTCGCAAAATATTCGAAAAAAAAAATTATTTTTTCTTATGAAAATGTTAAGATTATTTTTCTGATTGTTTTAGTCCCAAAAAAAAAAATTTTCCCATCAGTACTTACCGAGATATAGAGTCCTGAACTTTGCTGAAATTGATCTGCTGGCGGCAACAGCGGCGACTGCCGCTCACCCGGTAAACTTTTATTTACTTGTATTCAATGGTTTCTTGTTTTTTTCACTATTTTATTTTTTCACATAACTTTTGTGGCCTGTGAGACCAAATTATTGTGCAATGTTCAAATATACACTCGTTGAATGTAACACAATTATAGCAAAAACACTCGTATCATTATAATGTTGCTAAAACTTGTTTTACACAAACAAACAATGTAAACAAAATGTTTATTACGATTGCTTTATAATATATATACATATGTACAATCACTGGACACTTTATTAGAACTGCTGCAGCTTGTGGAATTCTTTGAAACATGGGTATAAGCACAATGGTGTTCTTACACTCCTCACACATAAAACGAGTGTCTCTGCGTTTTTGTGGGCGTTTTGTGGTATGTCCACAGACAAAACACCTCTTCTGAGCATTTTTCTTGGCAGTAGTAGCAGGCAGTGGTATGGGGTAGTGATCACCAGGCCTCAGACGAGAGGACATGTGTTGATAATTTAGTGGGCGCTGGTCTATTGCAGGTGTTGTTTCTTGTACTTGAATATTATTTGTCTGATGACTGACAAACAAAATTCACCATATTTGGGTTTGTTCTTGGTCTTCAACTTATACATATTATAAGCATTCAGCATGGAAATGTCAAGAAGATGGAAAAACAGTTTTATGTACCACTTATAACTCTTGTGAACACAGTCAGCAAACCCAATCTGCATGTCACATTTGTCCACTAAGCGCATATTGAGGTTGTAATCCATCACAGCTGCAGGTTTTACAATAGGTTCATTGGTCTCTCTATTCTGCTTGCCAGTCTCTACCATTTCGTGTCGGTGAACTGATGTCAGCAGTGTGACATCACGTTTGTCATGCCACCGAAATGCCATGATGTCATTGGCAGCAAACACCTGCACTTCACCTCTACGACTGCCAGCTTCGAACCTAGGCATATGTTTACGATTTCTATGCACTGTGCCACACACATCTGTCATGTTCACTCGCAAGAAATCACTGAGTATAGGGCTTGTGTACCATTGTCAGTATATAAAATATGCCCCTTACCAAGATATGGCTCCATCATTGTTCTAACCACATCACCAGAGATACCTAGTAACTTCCTGGTATCTTCCATTGTTTTACCGCCAGTGTACACAATTATATCCAAAAACCAGACCAGTTTTTGCAATCACACAGAACAAATAACTTTATACCAAAGCGTTTCCTCTTGCTTGGTATATACTGCTTGAATGAGAGTCTTCCTTTGAACAAAATCAAAGACTCATCAATAACAAGCTTCCTGAAGGGATAAAAATACATACAGCACTTTTGTTTCAGGTACATAAACACACGTCTGATCTTATATAACCTGTCGCTTCTGTCAGGCCTGGTTTTGTCTGAAAAGTGTAACATACGTAACAGTAAACACAAATCTATTCACTGGTATAATGTCACTGAAAGCAGGGGTTGAAATCAGGCGGTCTGTTGCCCAGTATGTGTTGACACTATGCTTATACACATGTGGCATAAGCATTATTGTGGCAAAGAACAGATACATCTCTGCCACAGTTGTGTCCTTCCACTGGTGTAGGCGTGATCTTGGTGAAAGCATAGTGTTTTGCCATGGTTGTACTCATAGTATGTATTGCTTTCCCTGACAATAATGTCCATCAGGGGTTCATCGAAGAACAACTGAAAGCATTCCAGTTCAGTGGGATTGTTCCCAAGTGTACATGATGGCCGTATTCCACTTCGTCCTCCATCAAAGTCATGGGGATTGGGAACAAACTCGTCATCTTGATGCCAATCCCAGATGCGGTCAGCTGGTGCGTTCTGGATATTGTAATGTCGTTGTGGTTGTGAGAGTGTGGGGTCGGCCAAGGCGGGTTGTAGTTGTGCAGAGTCAGCAGCGCGGGCACTAGCGTGGCCCGCTGCTGGTGTCACATGACTCATGGCACCGTCACTATCACCACCACCGCCTGCTGCCTCACTCACATCATTTATACCCATCGTAACAATATCGTCATCTTCACTATCAGGACGTGGTGTAGGGCCACGGGATGTGCTCCGAGATGTACTCCTTCCTCTTGGAAAAGCATATGGCACACTACCAGACCGCATGCGACGTCGTATATACTGCTGCTTCACTGGGGAATATTCACCCTCACTGTCACAACTAGAAGTGCTTTCAATAACCTTGAAATCACTATCACTATCACTTGCACTGCTCACATCTGAGTCTTGTACACGGGCAAATAGTTTCCTCTTTCGTCCTGGTACAGGTGAACATGAACAAGCCGGCCCAGCACCAGAGGTGGATGGTTGTGGGTCATCTGGGTTTTCATCACTAATTATGTTATCCTGGGTAATTTTTTCTCGGTCACACCCGCTTCAAAACCAGGGAATTCACTTTCACTGACACTATCATCACTGTTTGAGCTATCACTTGGGAACAAAAGACCTCCAATCCGCCGAGGAGTGAGGAACTTCTTACCGCGAGGCATGGTGAAAATGGACTACCAAGATGGCGTTCCCACAATGCACCGCTGAGTCCCAGATTTTTTTCACAGGGTGCACACCGACCACTGAGACCCATTCTCTCTTGTGTAGGCCTACCAGCCCTCTCCTGCTTGATTTGAAGCCGCTAGAATTTATGCGTATAGATACGTCAAACACGGTATCTCCCATGACGTACATATACGACCGCAACAGTCAAAGGGTTAGATGGCCAAAGACTGCAAACCTCACTCAAGGAAAAAGATCTGGGGGTGAGTATAACACCGAGCATATCTCCTGAGGCGCACATCAATCAGATAACTGCTGCAGCATACGGGCGCCTGGCAAACCTACGGATAGCGTTCTGATACCTCAGTAAGGATTCGTTTAAGACTCTGTATACCATCTACGTCAGGCCCATACTGGAGTATGCAGCACCAGTTTGGAATCCACACCTAGTCAAGCACGTCAAGAAATTAGAGAAAGTGCAAAGGTTTGCAACAAGACTAGTCCCAGAGCTACGGGGATTGTCCTATGAAGAAAGGTTGAGGGAAATCGGCCTGACGACACTGGAGGACAGGAGGGTCAGGGGAGACATGATAACGACATATAAAATACTGCGCGGAATAGACGAGGTGGACAAAGACGGGATGTTCCAGAGATGGGACACAGACACAAGAGGTCACAATTGGAAGTTGAAGACTCAGATGAATCAAAGGGATGTTAGGAAGTATTTCTTCTGTCATAGAGTAGTCAGGCCATGGAATAGCTAGAAAGTGATGTAGTGGAGGCAGGAACCATACATAGTTTTAAGGCGAGGTATGATAGAGTCATGGGGCAGGGAGAGAGAGGACCTAGTAGCAGTCAGCGAAGAGGCGGGGCCAGGAGCTGTGACTCGACCCCTGCAACCACAAATAGGTGAGTACAAATAGGTGAGTACACACACACACACACACACACACACACACACACACACACCACACAACACACACACACACACACACACACCCACACACACACCCTTACTAGGCGAGTACACACACACACACACACACACCGTAAGGACCCTCATCCTTCTCTTCCCCTCCCCACCTCCCTTCCCCTCCTAATCCCATTCACACACACACACCTCCCCCACTTCCAGGGGTCACTCTTCCTCATTCTTCTCTCCCCTCCCCCTTAATCCCA